GATGTCCCAGCTCGTGGTGGGACCTGATGAGCTTTGGTGTCCCTCAAACCCAAACCATTCCATGGTTCCACGCAGGCATTTAGGTGGGATTTTGGGTGAGGAGCTGGGATGGAATCCCCAGAGAAGCTGGAATCCCTGGAAGTGTCCAAGCCCAGGCTGATCCAGCAGAAAACATCTCAACCCATGGTAGAACTTCACAACCCCTTCCAACCCGACGCATTCCATGGTGGGATTTTGGGTGAGGAGCTGGAATGGAATCTCCAGAGCAGCTGGAGAAGGGTCCAACCCAAGTTCATCCAGCAGAAAACATCTCAACCCATGGTAGAACCCATCCAACCCAACCCATCCCGCACCTCCCAACCCCATCCCACGGGGCCACCAGGGCTGGACCCCCAATCCCAAACCCCAGAGGTGCCCCCAGATCTCACCTGGTCGCCCAGGGCAGCCTGGATGAAGCTCAGGAGAACCTCGTAGGTCTCTCGCGTCTCCTTGGTCTTGGGCTTGTAGATGATGCCCACCATCTCGTCGATGCCCTCGGACAGCAGCGTGTAGCCCTTCATCTTGTTGATGTCGTGCCTGTCCTCGTCCCTCTTCCTCCTCCTGGGAAATTGGGGAAAATTGGGAATTAGGGGTGCTCAGGGAGCAATTCCTGATTTTTCTGAGCCTTTTTTCCCCAAAAAAACACGATAAAAATGGATTTATTTTCGGTTTTTTGTGATGATTTTGGTGGCTCACAGTTGGGGTTGGTTCGGGGTTTTGGGTTTCCCAATCACTCATGGCCAAATCGGCTTTTTCTAAAAAATTTATTCAAAAAAATTGAGAAAAAAATTGATTTATTTTCATTTTTATAGATGATTTTGGTGGCTTCCAGTTGGGGTTGGTTTGGGGTTTTGGGCTTTCCAACGCTAAAAATTCCTTCAGGGCCAAATCCTGCTTTTTCCAGATTGATTTACTCCAAAAAGTTGAAAAAAAATTGATTTATTTTCATTTTTTTTAGATGATTTTGGTGGCTCACAGTTGGGTTGGTTCGGGGTTTTGGGTTTCCTAACCCCAAATGTTCCCTCATGGTCAAATCCTGCTTTTTCCAGATTGATTTATTCCAAAAAAATTGAGAAAAAATGGATTTATTTTCATTTTTTTTAGATGATTTTGGTGGCTCCCATTAGGGTTAGTTTGGGGTTTTGGGTTTCCCAATCACTCATGACCAAATCCTGCTTTTTCAAAAAAATTTTATTCAAAATAAACGTGGAAAAAATGGATTTATTTTCATATTTTTAGATGATTTTGGTGGCTCCCATTAGGGTTGGTTCGGGGTTTTGGGTTTCCCAATCACTCATGGCCAAATTTGCTTTTTTCAAAAAATTTATTCAAAAAAATTGAGAAAAAAATTGATTTATTTTCATTTTTTTTAGATAATTTTGGAGGCTCCCAGTTGGGGTTTGTTTGGGGTTTTGGGTTTCCCAACCCCAAAAGTTCCTTCAGGCCAAGTCCTGCTTTTTCCAGATTGATTTATTCCAAAAAATTAAGAAAAAAAAATATTTATTTTTATTTTTTTAGATGATTTTGGTGGCTGTCAGTTGGGTTTGTTTGGGGTTTTGGGTTTTCCACCCCCAAAAATCTCCAAAAAATCCCCAAAAAATGTTGAGTTGGAAAAGAGGAAGCTCCGAAACAAAGGAAATTTTTTGGGATATTTAGCACCAAGAAAAGTAGATTTTTTGGGATATTTAGCACTAGGAAGAGAAGATTTTTTTTGGATATTTAGCACCAACAAAAACATTTTTTTTTTCAAATTGGGCACCAAATTAGGAGATTTTTGGGGAAATTGGGTACCATGAAAAGCAAGTTTTTTGGGATATTTAGCACCAAGAAAAACAGATTTTTTTGAATATTTACTACCAAAAACCCCAAATATTCTGGGATACTTAGCACCAAAAAAATCCGATTTTTTGAGAAATCAACCACCAGCAAAAATCAACTTTTCCGAACCCGAACCGCAACCTCTCCCACCATTTCTCCCGCGATCCCAGGATGAAAATTCCCTGAAAATTCCCAATTTTTGCTGCTCACTTGGCTCTCCTCTCCTCCTGCATCTGGGGTTTGGTTCTCTGGGCCTTGTCCCCCATGCGCGTCCCCTCGAGCTTCCCCACCAGCGACAGAACCTCCCCCGTGGGCTCGTCCCGGCGCGTGCGGTCGATCAGCGAGCGGTCGGCCTGCAGCACCAGGTTGGAGTTCTGGGGGAAAAAACGGGAAAAATGGCATTAAAATGGGATAAAATGGGGTAAAATGAAATTAAAATGGGGTTAATATGGGGTAAAAGGAGGTAAAATAGGATTAAAATGGCATTTGGGGTGACGGGAATGGGGTTGAGGGGGTGAACTGGGACTGGAAGAAGTCGAGGGGGTCCCGGGATTGGGGGTCCCAAAATGGGGCTGGGGAACCCCAAACTGGGACAAGGGAATCCCAAACTGGGGTCCGAGTTGCCGGTACGAGGCTGAGGTCCCACACCGCGTCCCAGTTGGGGTGGAGGGAGCTCACGGTAACGGGACGGGCTCACGGTCCCGGGGTGCGCCCATGGTAACGGGACGGGCTCACGGTAACGGGACGGGGTTCAGGGCACCGAGCGCGCACTCACCGCTTTGTACTCATACTGCAGGCTACGGGCGGTCACGTCCGCCATGGCTGCGCCTGGAGCGGGGCCCCGAGCGGGGCCGGGACCGGGAGCGGGAACGGGAGTGGGAACGGGCCCTGATGAAGCCGCACGGCCGCCGCACCGGAAGCGCCCTCAGCAGAACTTCCGGGTTATGCGGAAACGCGCCTGCGCACGTGCGAGAGAGGCTCCGCCCATTACTCATTTTGATTGGTTGATACCAGCTAAATCCCGCCCCCACACCGGGAGCTGCCTGTGATTGGTCAGACGGCCACCCGCCATGATTTTGATTGACGTTCAAACGCCTGAAGTTGGCTGGGAGGGGCAGGGGGCGGGGTCAGTTCGAAGTTTGCCGCTTCCTATTGGTCGATTATGTGAAAACCACGCCCTCTGATCAGACCACGCCCCTTTCCGGTGTGAGGGCACCTGTGGTGCCCACGGTGGGGGGAGGCGACATCCCCGAATTGTCCCTGGGGAGGGCATCGAGGGGTCTCTGAGCATTTGGGGCATTGAGGGGTTTCTGGGTACTGGGGTGGTCCCTGGGCATTGAGGGGTCTGTGAGCATTTGGGGGTTCCGGGCAGTGTGGGGTCTGTGGGCCCTGTAGGGTCCCTGGGCATTGAGGGGTCTCTGGGCATTGAGGGATGCTTGGGCATTTGGAGGTAGCTGGGCATTGAGGGGTCCCTGGGCATTGAGGGGTCCCTGGGCACTGAGGGGTCCCTGGGCATTGAGAGGTCCCTGGGCATTTTGGGGTCCCTGGGTATTGGGGAATCCCTGGCTACTGGGGTGGTCCCTGAGCATTTGGGGGTCCTTGGGCATTGAGGGGTCTCTGGGCATTGGGGGGACCCTGGGCATTTGGGGCTGCCAGGGCACTTGGGGGTCCCTGAGTGCCCACCAGGGTTGTGTCTCCGTTCATTTCGGGGTGCCAGGGGACGCGGGCAGTGCCTCCCTCTCCCCATTCCCCTCCCTTGCTGGCTTTGGGGTCACAGCTTGGTGCCCACTGCCATGCCCTCATTATCTCGGCCCCGTTAATTAGCAGAGCGCAATGCCAGCGCCTGGAGAGGTGCCCGGCAGCCGTGTCAGCTCGGCCGTGTCCCAGCAGGGGTGGCACCACGTGGCACTTGTCCTGTCCCTGGAGGTGACCTGGCTGTGCTGCCACACCTGGTGCCCACCTGGGCTTTGTCCTTGTCCTCTCTGGGAAGGGATTCTGGGCACCAGGATGGCACCAAGATGGCACTGGGATGGCACTGAGGATGACACCAGGGATGGCACTGGTCAAACTGGGATGGATTGGGATGAGCTGAGTCAAACCGGGATAGGCCGAGCCTGGTTAAGCTGGGCTGAACTGAGCCAAACTGGGGTGGGTAAAACCAGGCTGAGCCGAACCAAGCCAGGCCAGTAAAGCCAGGCTGGGCTGACCCGGGTTAAACCAGACTGTGTGAACCCAAGCTGGGCTAAACCAAGCTGGATTGAGCTGAGCCTGCTTAAACTGGCCTGAACTGGGCTGAGCCCAACCGGGACACTCTGAACTGGGCCAAGCCTGGTTAAGCCAAGCGAGGCCAGTGGGCTGAACTGGGCTGAGGGGTTCTGGATGGGACCCAAACCGAGCCGAGCTGAGCTGGGCTGAACATCGTTGAGCCAACTGGTCCCAGTAAGACCCGACTGGTTCCGAGCGGACGCGGTTCCGACTGGACCGGGGTCCGATTAGACCCGAACGGTTCCGATTATACCCGAGCGGTTCCGATCCGATCAGACCCTCCCCGAACGGTTCCGATCTGACCCGAGCGGTTCCGATTAGACCCCAACGGTTCCGATCTGACCCGAGCGGTTCCGATCTGACCCGACCCGACCCGAGCCCCCTCCCCTGAGGGGGTCCGTGACGTCACGGGCGGGGCGGGGCCGCTCGGGGCCGCGCCGCGCGCTCCCCTCAGCGCCGCTCCCGCCTCCCGCTCCCCGGCCGGGCCCCCCCGCGCCCCCCGGAACCCCCGCCCCGCTCCGCCGCCTCCCTCCGCCGCCCCGCCCGGGCCCCCGCCCCGCTCCGTTCCGCCGCCCGCCTCCCGCCGCCCCGGCCGGGCCCCCCCGAACCCCCCCCGCGCCCGCCCCGCAGCCGCCGCCTCCCGCCCCGCCGCCGCCGCCGCCGCCGCCGCCGCGCCCTGAGGTGAGTGCGGGCCCCCCCCCGCCCCGCCCCGGTATTGTTGTGGCGGAGCCGCGGGGGCGGGAGGAGGAGGGGGAGGCGCTTTGTTCCTCCCGGTACCGGGGATCGCCGCCGGCTCCCTCCCCCCCCCATCCCCACCGCGATCCGCCCGTGGATGGGGGGGCCGGAATCGCCCCCTCCGCCGCTCGGAGCCGTCGGTGCAGCGGGAAATCCCCCCCACGGTAACGGCGGCGGGGAGCGGGGGGTGCCGGGGGCGCGGGGCTTGGGCGGGCAGCGCCGTGGGGAGCCGGGGGGGCACCGCCGTGGTGGCACCGTGTGGGGACCGGGGGTGGCACCGTGTGGGGACCGGGGCTGGCACCGTGTGGGGACCCCCCCCGGCCGGGCCCCTCAGGGCGCTCCCGGAGCGTCCAGCGCCAATTTCGGGGTTTGGCTTTGGCTGTGGCACCCCGAGGGTGCTGTCCCCGCTTTGGGCACCCGGCCGTGCCCCTGGCACCCCGGCCGTGCCCCGTGGCCTGTGGCACCGTGGCCGTGCTTTGTCCCTGTCGCCGTGCCTGTTGCAAGCCCAGCTGTGCCTGTTGAGCCCCGGCCGTGCCCGCGGCGGCTTGGCCGATCCTGTGGCACCCCAGCTGTGCCCAGGGCACCCCAAACTGGCCCAGGGCACCCCGGATTTGTCTCTTGTGCCCCGGCTGTGCTCGTGGCACCCCGATTTCTGCCCGTGGTACCCTGGCCAGGCCTGTGACAAACCCCCCCCCCCATCTTTGCCTGTGGGACCCCAATTCTCCATGTGGCACCTCAGCTGGCACCCCAAATGCGCCTGTGACACCCTAAATGTCCCTGTGGCACCCCGAATGTTCCCATGGCACCCCAGATGTGCCTGTCACACCCCAGATGTGGCCGTGACACCCCAACCATGCCCTTGGCACCCGAGATGTCCCTGTGACACCCCAGATGTTCCTGTGACACCCCAGATATGGCTGTCACACCCCAGCTGTGCCTGTCACACCCCAGCTGTGCCAGTGCCACGCCAGCTGTGCCCATCACACCCCAGCTGTGCCCATCACACCCCAGATATGTCCCTAGCACCCCAACTGTGCCAATGCCACCCCAGCTGTGGCTGTCACACCCCAGATGTGCCCGTCACACCCCAGCTGTGCCCATCACACCCCAGATATGTCCCTAGCACCCCAACTGTGCCAATGCCACCCCAGCTGTGGCTGTCACACCCCAGAGGTTCCTGTGACACCCCAGCTGTGCCCATCACACCCCAGATATGTCCCTAGCACCCCAACTGTGCCAATGCCACCCCAGCTGTGGCTGTCACACCCCAGCTGTGCCCATCACGCCCCAGCTGTGCCCGTGCCACCCTCCCCCGCCGCAGGAAGCCCGCCCGGGGGTGTCCCCCGTTCCCACGGCCCTTCCCGTCCCCCGCCCTCCCGGAAATCCTTCCCGAGCCGTCACCGGGGCCCCCCCGGGCCCCCCCGGTTTCCTGCTTCCCGCGGGGCCGGCCCGAACAATCCCCGCCGCATCCTGCCCGCCCCGGGCACCATCCAGGGCACCCCGGGGACACCGGGCAGGACGTGGGGGGTGGGCAGTGCCCGGTCCTGCCCCCCCTCCCCATTTCCTCGCCGTCCCCCGGGCATGGGGTGCCCCGGCCTCGTGACGGCGCGCTCAATGCCGCCTTGTGCCCGCGCCGCCCGCGTGACGCCGCCGCCCCGTGGCACTGACGGGGCCCCGTGTGCCCCCGCAGGGACCCCGCGGTGTCCCCAGCGCCGCGCCGGGGCCATGGCCGCTGTCACCGTGCTGCTGCTCCTTGGCACCGCTGCCGCCGGCGCTGCTGGCACCCCGGGCGCGTCGTGGAGCGCCGTGCCCAGGAGGACGGTGCCCTACGAGGGTGAGTGCCAGGGGATGGGGGACAGGGTGTGGGGTGTTGTCACCATCCCGGGTGGCTTTTGGCCCGTCCCTTCTCAGACAGTGCTGGGTGGGTGTCCCCAAAACTGGGGTGCAGGGGACACGCAGGGATGTGCCAGATGTGCCAGATGTGCCATCCCCAGTCCTGTGCCAGCACCTGGGGGCCACTGCCCGGTGCCGTGTCCCTTGTCCCATCCCTGTGCCGTGTCCCTTGTCCCCATCTCTGCCCTGTTTCCTGCTTATCTCTGCCCTGTCCCCTGTCCCCATCCTTGTGCCCTGTCCCCATCTCTGTGCCCAGTCCCCATCCCTCTGCCCTGTCCCCTGTCCCCATCCCTCTGCCAGGTCCTTTGTCCTGTCCCTCCTCCATGTCCCCTGCGTCCACGCCCTGCCACCATCCTGTCCCATCCGTCCCATCTGTCTGCGTGTCCCTTGTCCCATCGCTCTGCCATTTCCTGTCCCCACGCCCTGCCATCATCCTGTCCCGTCCCTCGGCCATGTCCCCTGTCCCTGTCCCTCTGCCGTGTCCAGTGCCCTGCCAGCACCTCGAGGTTCTGTCCTTGTCCTGTGCCAGCAGCCTCTGTCCCTGCCCTGTGCTGTCACCCTGTGTCCCCGTGCCGTGCCAGCTCCAGTGGCCCTGTCCCCGTGCCATGCCCAGTGTCCCCATGCTGTGCCACATTCCCCTTGTCCCCATGTGGTGGCAGTGCCCCCTGTCCTCTATCCCTGTCCAGTGCCACTGTCCCCATGCCATGTCCCTTGTCCCCATGCCCTCTGCTATGCCACTGTCCCTGTGCCTGAGACTTCAGTCCCTTCACTATGTCACTGTCCCCATGCTGTCCTCATGCCATGTCCCCTGTCCCCACACCTGGAGGTGTGCCTGTGCCATGTCCCTTGTCCCCACTCCTTCGCTGTGTCCCTGTCCCTGTGCAGTGTCCCTTGTCCCCACTCCTTTGCTGTGCCACTGTCCCTGTGCAGTGTCCCTTGTCCCCACTCCTTTGCTGTGTCCCTGTCCCTTGTCCCCACTCCTTCGCTGTGTCCCTGTCCCTATCCCGTGTCCCTTGTCCCCACTCCTTCGCTGTGTCCCTGTCCCTTGTCCCCATGGCCAGGCCCCCACCCTCAGCCGTGCCACCGCCCCCGTGCCGTGCCAGCCCCGTGTCCCCGTCCCCGCCCGGGGCCCTGGCGCTGTCCCCTCAATGGTTCCTTTCTGCAGAGCCCGGGGGGCACGGGGGGGTCCCTGCAAAGGCCACTGTGTTTGGTGACAAAGGGACCTTTGTGTGCCGCGGGGCCGGGGGTGGCCGGCGGGGGCGGGGGTGCCCTCGGGGGTCCCTGCCCTGCGTCCCCTTGTCCCCACAGAGCTGCGGGGGGGGGGGGTTGGGTCCCAGCTTGGTGTCCCCACAGAGCTGCGGGGGGGTCCCCAAGTTCCCACAGAGGTACAGGGGGGTCCCAGCTGGGTGTCCCCACAGGCTGTGGTGTCCCAGCCCAATGTCCCCATGTCCCCACACTCAGTAATGTCTCATCTCACTGTCCCTGTCCCTGCAGAGCTGCAAGAGGGATCTGACAGAGTTTGGGGGATGCTGTGGTGTCCCAGCCCGGTGTCCCCACACTTAGTAATGTCCCATGCTGCTGTCCCTGTCCCCACAGAGCTGCAGGGGGATCCCAGCCCGGTGTCCCCCCATTCTGTGGTGTCCCATTGTGCTGTCCCTGTCCCCACAGAGCTGCAGGGGGATCCCAGCCCGGTGTCCCCACACTCTGTGGTGTCCCATGCCGCTGTCCCTGTCCCCACAGGGCTGCAGGAGGGATCTGGCAGGGGTTGGGTGATGCTGTGGTGTCCCAGCCCGGTGTCCCCCATTCTGTGGTGTCCCATTGTGCTGTCCCTGTCCCCGCAGAGCTGCAGGGGTGTCCCAGCCCAGTGTCCCCACAGTCTGTGTGTCCCATTGTGCTGTCCCTGTCCCCGCAGAGCTGCAGGGGTGTCCCAGCCCGGTGTCCCCACAGTCTGTGTGTCCCATGCCGCTGTCCCTGTCCCCGCAGAGCTGCAGGGGTGTCCCAGCCCGGTGTCCCCACACTCTCCCCTGTCCCATCTCGCTGTCCCTGTCCCCGCAGAGCTGCAGGAGGGATCTGACAGAGTTTGGGGATGCTGTGGTGTCCCAGCCCGGTGTCCCCACACTCAGTAATGTCCCATGCTGCTGTCCCTGTCCCCGCAGAGCTGCAGGGGTGTCCCAGCCCGGTGTCCCCACAGTCTGTGTGTCCCATCTCGCTGTCCCTGTCCCCGCAGAGCTGCAGGAGGGATCTGACAGAGTTTGGGGATGCTGTGGTGTCCCAGCCCGGTGTCCCCACACTCAGTAATGTCCCATGCCGCTGTCCCTGTCCCCGCAGAGCTGCAGGAGGGATCTGACAGAGTTTGGGGATGCTGTGGTGTCCCAGCCTGGTGTCCCCACACTCTGCCCTGTCCCATCTCGCTGTCCCTGTCCCCGCAGAGCTGCAGGAGGGATCTGACAGAGTTTGGGGATGCTGTGGTGTCCCATCCCTGTGTCCCCACACTCAGTAATGTCCCATGCCGCTGTCCCTGTCCCCGCAGAGCTGCAGGAGGGATCTGACAGAGTTTGGGGATGCTGTGGTGTCCCATCCCTGTGTCCCCACACTCAGTAATGTCCCATGCCGCTGTCCCTGTCCCTGCAGAGCTGCAAGAGGGATCTGACAGAGTTTGGGGATGCTGTGGTGTCCCAGCCCGGTGTCCCCACACTCAGTAATGTCCCATGCCGCTGTCCCTGTCCCCGCAGAGCTGCAGGACACTGCCAAGCGTTTCTCCCAGGGCGGGGTCTCTCACTACCTGACGCTGACGCTGGACGAGGCCGAGGCGCTGCTCTACGTGGGTGCCCGCGAGGCCGTGTTCGCCCTGGCCACGGGCACCGTGGAGCTCAAGGCGGCGGTGAGGCCCCGGGGCACCCCAAACCGGGGTGGCATTCGGGGTGGGGGTGCCCTGCCGGCCCCTGACCCCTGTGCCACCCCCAGATCTCCTGGGAGGCGCCCGCGGAGAAGAAGGCGGAGTGCGTGCAGAAGGGCAAGAACAACCAGGTGGGCACGGGGGCATGGCGGGGTTTGGGGCACCGTGCCAGGGCTGTGTCCTTGTGCCATGACCTGTGTCCCTGTGCTCTGCCAGCTCCAGGGGTCCTGTCCTTGCGTCCTGGTGCCATGTTCTGTATCCTTGTGCTGTGCCAGCTCCAGGGGCTGTGTCCTTGTGTCCTGGTGCCATGTCCTGTGTCCCTGTGCTATGCCAGCTCCAGGGGCTGTGTCTTTGTGCCATGTCCTGTGTCTCATTGCTGTGCCAGCTTTGCCAGCTCCAGGGGCTGTGTCCTTGTGCCATGTCCTGTGTCCCTGTGCTGTGCCAGCTCCAGGGGTCCTGTCCCTGTGTCCCTGTGCCATGTCCTGTGTCCCTGTGCTGTGCCAGCTCCAGGGGCTGTGTCCTTGTGTCCTGGTGCCATGTCCTGTGTCCCTGTGCTGTGCCAGCTCCAGGGGTCCTGTCCCTGTGTCCTTGTGCCATGTCCTGTGTCCCCATGCCTTGCCACATTCCCCTTGTCCCCATGTGGTGGCAGTGCCCCCTGTCCTCTATCCCTGTCCCGTGCCAGTGTCCTCGTGCCATGTCCCCACTTCTTTTCTGTGCCACTGTCCCTGTGCCATGTCCCTTGTCCCCATGCCTGAAATGACAATTCCTTACTGTGCCACTGTCCCTGTGCCGTGTCCCTTGTCCCCATCCCTTCACTGTGCCACTGTCCCTGTGCCGTGTCCCTTGTCCCCACCCCTTTACGGTGCCACCTCCCCAGCGCCCCATCCCTTGTCCCTGTCCCCATTGATGTCCCTGTGTCCCCTCGCAGACCGACTGCTTCAACTACGTGCGCTTCCTGCAGAGCTACAACAGCTCCCACCTGTACGCGTGCGGCACCTACGCCTTCCAGCCCAAGTGCACCTACATCGTGAGTGTGTCCCCAAATCCCTGTCCCCAGCGTCCCCTGCCCTCCCCAGGGGTGGCCCTGTCCCCTGGGGTGACATTTAGGGTGGTTTTGTGGCGGTGAGAGCAGATTGGGGGCGTCTTTGTGCACTTGGGGTGTCCCAGATGGGTCACCTGAATCGGGGACACCCCTGGATGAGGGACAGGGACAGTCCCAGATGGGTCATCTTGGAGGGTCCCTGTCCCCAAGAGCCACTTCCAGAGGTGTCCCTGTCCCTCATCCAAGGGTGGTACAAGGTCATCCAAGACTGTTCCTATCTCAGAAGAATCATCCAGGGGCATCCATGTCCCTCATCCAGGAGTGTCCCTGTGCTGTGGAGGTGGCCCCAGGCTGTCCCTGCCCCCAGGAGGGTCATCCAGAGGTGTCCCTGTCCCTCATCCGAGGATGTCCCTGTCCCCAGGAGGGTCATCCAGGACTGTCCATGTCTCAGAAGAATCATCCAGGGGCATCCATGTCCCTCATCCAGGACTGTCCCTGTCCCCAGGAGGGTGGCCCAGGGCTGTCCCTGTCCCCAGCAGGGTCATCCAAGACTGTCCCTATCCCAGAACGACAATCAAGGGGCATCTCCATCGCTCATCAAAGGGTGTCCCTGTCCCCAGGAGGGTGGCCCCAGGCTGTCCCCGTCCCCAAGAGGGTCACCTGGAGGCTGTCCATGTCCCTGGGCCTGTGTGGGTGGCACAGACATGACCCAGCGCCCCCCACCCCACCCTGTGCCCCCCAGGAGCTCTCCGGCTTCACCCTGGACCCGGTGGCATTCGAGGACGGCAAAGGCAAATGTCCCTACGACCCCACCAAGGGCCACACCGGCCTCATCGTGGGTAGGTGACACCTCTGGGGACACGGGGGGGGTGGGGGGTGCCACCCGTGCCCGCCACCCCCCTTAAACACCTCCCTCACAGACGGGGAGCTCTACTCTGCCACCTTCAACAACTTCCTGGGCACGGAGCCCGTCATCCTGCGCAACCTGGGCCCGCACTACTCCATGAAGACGGAGTACCTGACCTCGTGGCTCAACGGTGGGGACACACGGGGGACAGGGGACACGGGAGGGGACGGGGGGCAGGGCACGGGTGTGACAAGGAGCTTTTGCAGAGCCTCACTTCGTGGCGTCGGCCTTCGTGCCCGAGAGCGCGGGCAGCGGCGACGACGACAAGGTTTACTTCTTCTTCAGCGAGCGCGCCGTGGAGTACGACTGCTACGCCGAGCAGGTGGTGGCACGGGTGGCACGGGTCTGCAAGGTACGCCTGGGGACACCTGGGGACACGCCCCGAGCTGTCTGAGGGTTGGGAAGTTGGCATGAGGTTTGGCAGTTGGGTGTGATTGCTGCACAGAGCAGGTGGTGGCACAGGTGGCATGGGTCTGCAAAGTACCTTGTCCTGGTGCCCATGGTCAGCATGGTGGCCCTGTCCTGTTGCCCATGGTGGCCTTGTCCCAGTGCCAGTGGTCACCATGGTGGCCCTGTCCTGGATGCCCATGGTGGCCTTGCTCATAGTCACCATGGTGGCCTTGTCTTGGATGCACATGGTGGCCTTGTCCTGAAGCCTGTGGTCACCATGATGGCCTTGTCCCAGTGACCATGGTGGCCTTGTCCCAGTGCCACTGGTCAGCATGGTGGCCTTGTCCTGGATGCCCATGGTGGTCTTGTCCTGGATGCCAATGGTGGTCTTGTCCTGGTGCCCGTGGTCACATGGTGGCCCTGTCCTGTTGCCCATGGTGGCCTTGTCCCAATGCCACTGGTCAGCATGGTGGCCTTGTCATGGTACCCATGGTGGCCTTTTCCTGGTGCCCGTGGTCAGCATGGTGGCCTTTTCCGGGTGCCCATGGTGGCCTTGTCCTGGTCCCCTTGGTGGCCTTGTCCTGCTGTCTGTGGTGTTCATGGTCATGGTGGCCATGTCCATGGTGGCCCCTGGTGGCCCTGTCCTGAAGCCCATGGCCCTGAAGCCCATGGTCACCACGGTGGCCTTGTCCTGGTGCCCATGGTGGCCCTGGTGCCTGTGGTACCCAGGGTGCCCACAGCGCCCACAGTGGCCACGTCCCAGTGCCCGCGGTACCCGCAGTGCCCGCAGCGCCCGCGTCCCCGCAGGGCGACGTGGGCGGCGCGCGCACGCTGCAGAAGAAGTGGACGTCGTTCCTGAAGGCGCGCCTGGTGTGCTCGGCCCCCGAGCAGCAGCTGCACTTCAACCGCCTGCAGGCCGTGTTCACCCTGCCCGGTGCCCGCTGGCAGGACACCGCCTTCTTCGGCGTCTTCCAGGCCCGCTGGTGAGTGCCCACCGTGCCCATGCTGGCCCTGGTGGCCCTGTCTCTGTGACCATGGTGGCCTTGTCCCAATGACCATGATGGCCTTGTCCTGGTGCTTATGGTGGCCTTGTCCCAGTGACCGTGGTGGCCTTGTCCCAGTGACCATGGTGGCCTTGTCCTTGTGTACATGGTGGTCTTGTCCCGGTGGCCCTGGTGCCCTTGTCCCAGTGACCATGATGGTCTTGTCCTGGTGACCATGGCAGCCTTGTCCTGGTGGCCATGGTGGCCTTGTCCCAGTGACCATGGTGGTCTTGTCCCTGTACACGTGGTGGTCTTGCCTTGGTCCCCATGGTCACTATGGTGGCCTCGTCTTGGTGCCCATGGTGCACTTGTCCTGATGACCATGGTGGCCTCGTCTCAGTGCCCGTGGTCACCATGTTGGCCTTGTCCCGGTGATCATGGTGGCCTTGTCCTGGTGCCCATGGTGCTCTTGTCCTGGTGCCTATGGTCACAATGGTGTCCTTGTCCCAATGCCCACGGTCACCATGTTGGCCTTGTCCTGGTGCCCATGGTGGCCTTGTCCTGGTGACCATGATGGTTTTGTCCTGGTGCCCATGGTCACTATGGTGGCTGTGTCCTAGTTCCCGTGGTGCTCATGGTGGCCTTGTCCTGGTGCCCATGGTGGCCTTGTCCCAGTTCTCATGGTGCCCAGGGTGGCCCTGTCCCAGTTCCCGTGGTGCCCACGGTGCCCCTGTCCCTTTGCCCACTCCGGTTGTGCCCGCAGGGGTGACGTGGACGTCTCTGCCATCTGCCGCTACCCCATCCTGGAGGTGAAGAAGGCCTTCGAGGGGCCCTACAAGGAGTACCGGGAGCAGGCGCAGAAATGGGGGCGCTACTCGGGCGAGGTGCCCACGCCCCGGCCCGGCGCGGTGAGAGCGACGGGCTGGGGGTGCCCTCTGAGGGTTGGCATCCATCCATGGGCTGGGGGTGCCCTCTGAAGGGTTGGCATCCATCCATGGGCTGGGGGTGCCCTCTGAGGGGTTGGGATCCATTCCTGGGCTGGGGGTGCCCTCTGAGGGTTGGCATCCATCCATGGGCTGGGGGTGCCCTCTGAGGGGTTGGGATCCATTCCTGGGCTGGGGGTGCCCTCTGAAGGGCTGGCATCCATCCCTGGGGCTGGTGGTGCCCTCTGAGGGGTTGGCATCCATCTGTTGGGCTGATGGTGCCTTCCGAAGGGTTGGCATCCATCCACGAGGCTAGTGGTGCCCTCCATGGGGTTGGCATCCATCTCTGGGGTTGGTGGTGCCCCCTGAGGGTTGGGATCCATCGGTGCCCCCTCAGATGAATTGGGATCCATCTGTGCCACCCTGAGCGGGATTTGGGACCCATCTGTGCCATCCCAAGAGGGATTGGGACCCACCTCAGTGCCCCCATGCCCTCCCATATGCCCTGACTGCCCCCATGTGCCCTGAGTTCCCCCCGTGCCCTCCCCATGCCCTGAGTTCCCCCCGTGCCCTCCCCATGCCCTGATGTTCCCCCCGTGCCCTCTCCCATGCCCTGACGGTGCCCCCTGTGCCCCTGGCAGTGCATCACGGACTGGCACCGGCAGAACGGCTTTGCCAGCTCCCTGGAGCTGCCCGACAACACGCTCAACTTCGCCAAGAAGCACCCGCTGATGGACGAGCCGGTGCCACCCCAGCGCGGGCGCCCGCTGCTGCTCAAGAGGGATGCCAACTTCACCCAGCTCGTGGTGGATCGCGTGGCAGGGCTGGACGGGGCCACCTACGAGGTGCTCTTCATTGGCACAGGTAATGCCAGGGACAGGGAATGCCAGGGACAGGGGGCACCTACGAGGTGCTCTTCATTGGCACAGGTAATGCCAGGGACAGGGAATGCCAGGGACAGAGGGCACCTATGAGGTTCTCTTCATTGGCACAGGTAATGCCAGGGACAGGGAATGCCAGGGGACACGGAATGCCAGAGGACAGGGGGCACAGGGACAGGGGGCACCTATGAGGTTCTCTTCATTGGCACAGGTAATGCCAGGGGACAGAGACAGCGGGACAGGGGGCACAGAGGGGACAGGGCATTAAGGAGACATGGCACCGAGGGACATGGCACAGCAGGGACATGGCACAGCAGGGACAGGGCACCATGGGGACAGGGCACCACGTGTCCAGCCCCGGGGTGCCCTATCGCTGATGCCCGCCGTGCCAACCCGCAGCTGACGGCTGGGTGCACAAGGCGCTGGATCTGGGCACCCGCATCCACCTGGTGGAGGAGCTGCAGGTGTTCGAGCCCGCCCAGCCCGTGGAGAGCCTGGTCCTGGCGGGCACCAAGGTGAGCGTGCCAGGGCTGGGGGCGGCAGCGTCACCGCGGTGCCGCCCAGCAGCGCCGCCTCACCGCCGTGCCCTCCCCGCCCTGGCAGAAGCTGCTGTTCGCCGGGTCCCGCCTGCAGGTGGCACAGCTGCCCCTGGCAGAGTGCGGGCGCTACCAGTCCTGCACCGACTGCGTGCTGGCACGGGACCCCTACTGCGCCTGGAGCCGCAACGGCAGCGCCTGCGTCCGCACCGACGGGCACAACGGGTACCGGGGCACGGGGATGGCACCCGGGGCACGGGGATGGCACCCAGGGCACGGGGATGGCACCCAGGGCACAGGGATGGCACCTGGGGCATGGAGATGGCACCCGGGGCATGGGGATGGCACCCAGGGCATAGAGATGGCACCCAGGGCATGGAGATGGCACCCGGGGCACGGGGATGGCACCCAGGGCATGGAGATGGCACCCGGGGCACGGGGATGGCACCCGGGGCACGGGGATGGCACCCGGGGCATGGGGATGGCACCCAGGGCACAAGGATGGCACCCAGGGCATGGGGATGGCACCCAGGGCATAGAGATGGCACCCAGGGCACGGTCAGGGTGGAGTTTGGGAAGGGTTCTGTCCCCAGAAGGGGCTGGCACTGCCCAGGGAATGGGCACTGCCCCAGGGAGCTCCAGGAGCCTTTGGATTTTGGGGTGTCTGTGCAGGGGTGCCCAGGGTGGCATTTTGGGGGTCTGTGCAGGGGTGCCAGGGGGGGATCAGTGATCCCTGGGGAGGGGGCACCACGGGTACCCCCTCACGGTGCCATCCTCCCGCAGCTCCCACCTGGTGCAGGACGTGCTGAGCTCCGACACCGGCGCCTGCTCCGTGCCACAGGTGGCCAAGCAAGGTGAGACCCTACTGGTGCCACACGGGTGTGCCCATGCCATCCCATGCCAACCCATGGATCCCATCCCATCCCATGGATCCCATCCCATCCCATCCCATCCCATGGACCTCATCGAATCCCATCCCACTGATCCCATCCCATCCCATGGATCCCATCCCATCCCATGGATCCCATCCCATCCCATCCCATCCCATGGATCCCATCTCATTCCATGGATCTCATCCCATCCCATCCCATCCCATCCCATGGATCCCATCCCACACCATGGATCCCATCTCATCCAATGGATCCCATCCCATCCATCCAATCCCATCCCATAGATCTCATCCCATCCCATCCCATCCCATCCCACCCCATGGATCCCATCCCATCCCATCCCATCCCATGGACTCCATCCCATCCCATCCCATCCCACCCCATGGATCCCACCCCACCCCATGGACCCCACCCCATGACGCCCCTGTCCCGCCGTGTCCCCGCAGGCTCCCTGACGCCCAAGAACGTGACGGTGGTGGCGGGCACCGACCTGGTGCTCACGTGCCGCCTGGCCTCCAACCTGGCGCGCGCCCTCTGGACCTTCGAGGGCCGGGCGCTGGCGGCGCAGCGGGTGCTGGTGCTGGGCGAGGCGCGGCTGCGGGCGCTGGTGGTGCCCGGCGCGGGCGCCCAGCACAGCGGCACCTACCGCTGCCTGGCCGAGGAGCAGGGCGCCCGCCTGCCCGCCCAGGAGTACCGCGTGGCCGTGCTGGCGGGCCCGGGCGCGCCCCTGGAGACGCGGGCGCCGCTGCAGAGCCCGGGCGCGGTGTGGGTGCTGGCCGTGTGCCTGGGCGCCCTGTGCCTGCTGCTGCTGCTGGCCGTGCTGTCGCTGTGGCGCCGCCTGCGCCGCGAGCTGGGCAAGGGCGCCAAGGCCATCGAGAGCACGCTGGTGTACCCCATCGAGCTGCCCAAGGAGATGCCCAGCCCGCGCTTCGTGCCCAGCGCCGCCTCCGACTCGGACGAGAAGCTCTGGGACCCGTCCAGTTATTACTACTCGGACGGCTCGCTGAAAATCGTGCCCGGGCACGCCGGCGCGGCGGGCGCGGCCCGCTGCCGCAACGGCGGCCCCGGCGCGGCCTCGCCGCCCGCCGCCGTGCCCGGGCAGCCGCTGCACTCGCCCACCCGCATCCACCTGGGGCCCCTGCGCGGCTCGGCCTCCAACGGGTACATCCGCCTGGCGCTGGGCGCCGAGGAGCGCCCGGCCTGCGCCGACCTGGCCGAGGAGCTGCGGCGCAAGCTGCAGCAGCGCCAGCCCCTGCCCGACTCCAACCCCGAGGAGTCGTCGGTGTGAGCCGTGCCCGCCTCCGCTCCGGGGGCTGCTGTGGGCACCGCGGAGCGGGCACGGCGGAGCTGATCCGGCTGGGGATGGGTGCCTGGCATCGGGATCCTGCTGGGGACGAGCGCCTGGCATCGGAACCCGGCTGGGGACGAGCACCTGGCATCGGAACCTGGCTGGGGATGAGCGTCTGGCATCAGATGGAGATGGCATTGAAACCCAGCTGGGGATGGGTGCCTGGCATCAGAACCCGGCTGGGGATGGGCACGTGGCACCAGGGCCTGGCTGAGGATGAGCATCTGGCATCAGAACCCAGCTTGGGACGGGCGCCTGGCACCAGGATCCAGCTGAGGACAAGCATCTGGCATCAGGACCCAGCTGGGTACAAGCGTCTGGCACTGGCACCCAGCTTGGGACGGGCGCCTGGCACCAGGATTCGGCTGGCAACGCACACTTGGCACTGGCACCCGGCTTGGGGACAGGATTGCCACGCTGGTACCCGCCCTGGGGACAGCAGGGTGACCCCAGTGCCCGGCTTGGGGACAGCAGTGTCACCGCAGGATCCACCCTGCGCCACCCCAGTGCCAGTGCCCACCTTGGGGACTGATACGTTGGCACTGGTGCCCACCTCGGGGACAGGATGGTCACCCCAGCGCCCACCTTGGTGACAGCAGTGTCACCCAGTGCCACCCTGGAAACGGGAGTGTCACCTCAGTGCCACCGACACGCTGGCATTGGTGCCCACCTTGGGGACAGGATTGGCACCCTGGCACCCAGCATTGTCACTTGGGCACCTCCCTTGGGGACAGGGCCGCCACCCTGGCACCGCTGCCACCCTGGCACCGCTGCCACCCTGGGCTCCCGGTGCCACCCCTTCGGTACGGCGTCCCCATGGAGGGACAGACGTGGGGACGCCCCCCGTGCCCACCTTGTGCCCGGTGCCCTCGGGACGATTTTTTTGGGCCGATTTCGGGTTTTTCTCCCTGACATTTTTCTATCTCCACCCCCTCCCTCCGTGCCCCCCTTGCCAGGGCTCTGTGCCCGCCCTGCCCTGGCATTTGTCCCCTTTGTCCCCTCCTGTCCCCAACCCCTGCACGCCCCCCTCCCCTTTTGTATAACCCCCCCCAGTGTAATTTATTTGTTACCGAAATGATATTTATTTGCTGTAAATACCTGAGTATTTTTATATTCATAATAAAAGGACTTCCAAAAAAAAAGCCAAAAACAAATCCTGGGTTTCTTTTTTCTATTTCTCTTTTTTCTTGGGGGGTTTTGGGGGAATTTTTGGGGAAATTTTGGGGAGGTTTTGGGGGAATTTTGGGGAGGCTTGGGGGAGTTTGGGGGAGATTTTTTGGAGATTTTGAGGGAGATTTGGGGATTTTTTGGGGAGGTTTTGGGGGAATTTTTGGGGAGATTTTTGGGAGGTTTTGGGGAAGTGTTTGGGGAGGTTCTGGGGAGATTTTAGTGGAGATTTTGGGGGAATTTTGGGGAGGTTTTGGGGGAGGTTTTTTGGGGGAGATTTTTTGGAGATTTTGAGGGAGATTTGGGGAAGTTTTTGGGGATTTTTTTTTTTTGAGGTTTTGGGGGAATATTGGGGAGGTTTTAGGGGAGATTTTGGGGAGGTTTATTTGAGATTTTGGCTGAGGTTTTGGGGGAGGTTTGGGGAAGTTTTTGGGGATTTTTTTGGGAGGTTTTGGGGGAGATTTTGGGGAATCTTGGGGAAGTTTTTGTTGAAGTTTTGGCGAGTTTTTGGGGGAGGTTTGGGGAGGATTTGTGGAAGGTTTTGGGGGAGATTTTGGGGAATTTTCGAGAGGTTTTGGGAAAGTTTTGGAGGAGGTTTTGGGGGAGATTTTGGGGAGGTTTCTTGGAGATTTTGGGGGAGATTTGGGGAAGTTTTTAGGGATTTTTTGGGGAGGTTTTGGGAGAATTTTGGGGAGGTTTTGGGAAAGTTTTCGTTGAGGTTTTGGCGAGTTTTTAGGGGACATGTGGGGGGAGGACTTGGGGAAGATTTTGGGGGAGATTTTGGGGAGGTTTCTTGGAGATTTTGGGGGAGGTTTGGGGAAGTTTTTAGGGATTTTTTGGGGAGGTTTTTGGGGAAGTTTTTGGGGAGGTTTCGGGCAAGTTTCGTTGAGGTTTTGCGGAGGATTTGCGGGAGGTTTCGGTTCTCTCCCCCCCCGTGCTGAGCTCATGGAAAAAGCTCCAGCGGGGCTAAAAAAGGACAAACCCGGAGCCGTTCCCAGGCGGGGGGGCCGGGCCGGGCTCCCCCCCCATCCCCGGGGAGGCTCCGCAGGAAATGGGGGAGGGGGCTGGGAACGGGCCCGGGCCGTGGGAAATGGGGCTGGGGGCGGGATGGGAGTGCCGGGGGGAGGGGAGCACAGGAACACCCCAAAATAGGGGAGGGGGAACCCAAGGATACACCAGGATCGAGGAGGGGCCTCTGGGACACCCCAATACTGGGGAGGGGGAACCCAGGGACACCCCAATACAGGGGAAGGGGAGCCCAAGGATACCCCAAAATAGGGGTGGGGGAACCCAGGGACATCCCAATATAGAGAAGAAGGACTCCCATTACTGCTGTGGGACCCCCATTGCTGCTGTGGGACCCCCATTATTGCTGTGGGACCCCCATTATTGCTGTGGGACCCCCATTGCAGAGCAGGGAGGAGCTCAGGGACCCCATAAAGGTGTGGGGCAGACCCCTGGGAACCCTGAATGGGGGAAGATGGGATCCTTGGGGACCCCCCTAATGGGGAGTGGGAGCCGTTGATGATGGGGGGGGACTTGGGAACCCCAAAATTTGGGGGGGGGACGAACCTCGAGTCCCAAAGGGGGCTTTGAGCGGCCCCTGGCGCCCCCTGGCGGCGGCAGCGGGTGTGGGGAGTGCGCATGCGCCGCAACGGTTCGGAATCGGGGTCATTCGGCTGCATTCGGCCCTTCCCAGATCCCTTCGGCATTTTCCGGCCCTTTCATGCTCTTTCGGCTTTTTCCGTCTGCACTCGGCCCTTCCCGGTCTCACTCGGCTCTTTCCGCCATCCCTCGGCCGTTTCCGCCGCCCCTCGGCTGTCTCCGCCCAGTCCCTCAGCGCCGCCGCTGCCATGGCCGGTGGTCGCCGCTCTCCGCCCGCCCCGTGCTGCCCGGGACGGGCGGCGCTGCCCTCTCCGTGCTGCCAGGGCCGCGTGGCCGTGCCCAGCGTGCACCAGAGCCTGTCCGAGATGGACTTCGAGCGGGGTCCGGGGGGCTCCGGGGCCGGGGGCGGGAGGGTCGGGTCAGCGGTACCGGCGGAGCTCCGTGTGGGGCACCCGGTACCGGAGGGGTCTCTGTGTGGGGTACCCGGTACCGGAGGGGCACGGGGGGCTCTGGGCAGGGGTTGGGGTAGCGGAGGGGGCACGGGAAGGGCTGGAGCAGCGGTACGGGGGCTCTGGGCACCGGTACCGGAGGGGCACCGGGGGGCTCTGGGCACCGGTCCCGGGCCCGTGGCTGAGGCGGCCCCGCTGCCCGCAGGGATCTGGGCGGCGGCGCGGGACGGGGACGAGGCGCGGGTGCTGCAGCTGCTGGAGCGGAGAGGGGACCCCGCGGAGCCCGACCTGGCGGGGTACACGGCACTGGTACACCGGGGGCACCGGGAGGGCACGGGGGGCACCGGGGCACGGTCCTCGTAGGGGGGCACCGGGGGTCCCGACCGGGCACATGGCCCTGCTACGAGGGGCACGGAGGGCACCGGGGTCTTTGGGGTCGGTCCTGCCCTGGCACACAGCCCTGGCACCGGGGATCCCGGGGGGCTTTGGGGTCCGTCCTCACCGGGCACACGGCCCTGGCACCGGGGGTCTTTGGGGTCCCTGGCACCGGGGATCCCGGGGTTCGAGCCCTGAGGCCGCCCGTGCCGTGCCCGCAGCACTATGCCAGCCGGAACGGGCACCTCGGGGTGTGCCGGCTGCTGCTGGAGCGCGGTGCCCCGTGCGATGCCCGCACCCCCGGCGGTGCCACCCCGCTGCACCGCGCCTGCTACTGCGGGCACCGCGCCGTCACCGAGCTGCTGCTGGCACACGGAGCCGACCCCGCCGCCACCGACGGCGACGGCAGAACCGGCCTGCACAAGGTGGGCACCGGGGAGAGCCCAGAGTGGGTGGGGGGCACATCCTGCCCCAACTAGAGGGGGCACGGGGGATCCCAATGCCAGGTGGGGGCACGCGGGATGGCAAAGTGAGTGGGGGGCACGGGAGAGCCCCAAATGCTTGGAGCAGGGGGGCAGTGCCCAAATCTGAGGAGGCACAGGGGGCAAACCCTGCCCGAATTAGGGGGGGCACAGAAGCGTCCTTTGCCCAAATTAAAGGAGGAACAAGGGGCATCACTTGCCCAAATTTGAGGGGGGCACAGGGGCAACTCCTGCCCGAATTAGGGGGGGGCACAGAGGGGTCCTCTGCCCAAATCAGAGGGGGCACAGGGGGGACACCCCTGCCCGAGATTGAGGGGGCACAGGGGCACCCCTTGCCCAAATTTGAGGGGGCACAGAGGGGTTTTCTGCCCAAATTAAAGGGGGCACAGGGGGAACCCCCTGCCCAAATCGGGTGGGGGGGTCCGGGGCTCCGCCTTCCGCAGGGTGCCCGTGGGTGGCTCTCGGGTGCCCGTGGGTGACACCGGTGCCCCCCAGGCCGCCGAGCAGGGGCACCGCGAGCTCTGCGCCCTCCTCCTGCGCCAGCGCCCGGCCCTCGCCGCCCTCCGCGATGCCCGGGGCCGCAGCCCGCGGGACGGGGCGCACCCGGCCGTGTGGGACCTGCTGGACACCTGAGCGGACACAGCGGCGACAACCGGGACCGGGCACTGTCACGGGCCAGGTGCCGGTCCCGGTACCGCCGCCGCCACTTCCGGGTTCCGCCAGCACGCCCCGCCCACTACCCACCATCTCAACCAATCACCTCCCGCCATTCCCTGCAGCCCCGCCTCTCCTCCCCTGTAGCCAATCAGCACCCGCGGTGCAGTTAGGGGGCGGGGCTTAGCCGTGTAAACAGCGCCCGCGGGTGGGGGGGGGATTTAAAGGCGCCGCGTCCTTTTTAACCGGGCCCCCCCCGCGCGGCACCGAGCACAGCCAGGTACAGATATAGAATTTTTATTAACCCATCTGACAAAAAAATAACCCGAAAAAAAAAAACCCTCCGTGAAATGAAAATTCCACGGTCGGTTCGA